ACCCGGAGGAGGGGGGGGTAGCAATGGTTGCAAATAAATAAATAAAAACATTCTCCTTAGTCAATGCACCGCTGGACGAAGGCCCCCCCCCCACGCCGGGGTTGTTTGACCGTAGAACTTCACCGTGCCGGTCGGTGCGGGTTGGGGAAACAGGGCCTTCGTTAGCGCTTGCGATGTTACTCACTCGCAGCTGATCTTCGCCGGTGAATCAATTGCTCTTCGCTCGACACAACCGTTTATGCCGGTATACGCGATGAATCTACACGCTCAAGGGTGCTTCTTTTTAGACTGAAGATGATGGTTAGAGAGTAGGGCTCTGGTTACGAGAATTCTGTGACACTGCTTGCAGTAAAGGGGGAGGGCCGCATTGTCGACTATTTCACGGATTAAGTAACAAGGTGGAGAGATATATTCTTGGTTCTTTCGGTAAAATCACGTAGAAGGGAAAAAATATATATATACAAAAAATAAAAATTCTCAGGACGTTTCTTTATTTTATTTTATTATTTCCCTTCTATGTGACTTTACCGAAAGAACCAATAATATTAATCCCTGCAGTCACGAAAGCTTTAAATAAAAATTTAAGGTGGAGAGATGTTAACTACCTCGCCCGGTATGCAGGAGGTCGTGGGTTCGATCCCAACCCTGACGCCTGCTGTATATTCGGAGTTTGCATGTTTCTCTCTCCCCGTGGTGGCGTGGATTTTTATCCGGGTCCTCCGATTCTTCCTCCCCATATTGAGAAATGTATTCGGCCTGCTTTAATTTTCTACACGATAATAAGCCACTCCGTTGAGCTGTCATTTGTGACCAGGTCCCTTCTGAGCCTTACGTGGTAAAAATGAAAATAGTTTAGATTTAGTCGAGTGTCATCGCCAGCGACCATTGTCTATCCACTGCTGCATGAAGGCCTCCCCCACGCCGTTGCCATCCCTCACGGTCCTGCGAGCCGATCTCGTCGCTCCAGCCCCACGCCGGCCGTCATCCTGTGTGGCGATGGCGGTGTTGTCCTGCCTGAAACCAGCTACTCTGCAGAATTGTCCGTGCGATGACTCCGATAAGTAATTTTTTTTTCTCAGATCCTTATGTGTTCCTGTTTCTGTCTCTCCGTGTAATTCCAAGCATGCAACTGTCCATGCCTTTTAGGGTAATGAACGGAGTTAAAGGGCTTCAGGATAGGTGTTTATAACAAATAAACAATCCAGATATTCCAATAGTCATGGGCTCAAAAAATGCCACATCCATCCCAGTTTGTCCAATTTTTGTTTTAGTTATTTCCACCGATTTTATCCCAAATGTGCTATCATCGTCACACGATCACGGATCCATCTTGTAACCCACAAATATCTCAGTGTGGATAACACAGAACTGCTTTTGAGATCCTTTCATGTGACCTCTGACCTACGCACTAAGGGGCAGCACTCTCTCATCCACTTTTCCAGAGCATAATGTATGTACGTATGGTAATATACTGTCGCATAGCAGCGAATGCAATAGTTTTAATCTTCAAAGCTGGAATTTAATACAATTAAGTTGCAGAAACTAATTTAATGTGTTGGGTTCTTTTTGTCATTCGTGGGCTCAAATTTAACTGCCTGGATTCAAACCCGCGACCGGAACGGTATCAACCAGTTCAGCACTTCTGACCTCTGTGCCACGTGGCCAGAGGACATGATTGGTCGATTCCTACGGTGGATCAAATTAATTGTGACCGGTTCAAAATGTGCATACGCTGAACCAACACGCAACCTCCCTATCCTCGGTCAGGTTAAACTCTCGTTCAAGCTAGGATACCCTTCCTCCATTTACAAAAAAACAAACACTACGCACAGATTGTGACCTCTACAGATGAAACTCATCAACGCAGGTCTTCAGATATTAAGTGATGGCATTTTTAACCCTTTCCTGTTGGAACCGGAAGAAAAAATGAAAATAACTTTATCGGTACCGAGGCTCCCACAAGGCCAAGCGGGAGGGCATGTGGCACGGTTTGGCGCCAGCCATCGTAGAGCGCGGTCGTGTCGCTACGGTTCTCTGCGGTAAGTACGATGTCTTTAAAAGCAACGGCGCTACCCCTCTCTAAATAAAATTAACGCTGAGCCGCGAGTGTGTCCCGAGATTCAGCGGTGAACGGGACACCCACCTTGCAACTTGCAGACGTCTCAGAACGGGAAAAGGTGAAATCAATCAATGAAGATATGTTTTAAGTTGCTACGAGAAAGTCATTGAAACACAGAGCATGGTACCACGTGAACCAAGGCAAGCGTGCCGGACGGAGGGAGCTCCTATCTCACACTTACAGCGCAGCGTCTGAAGGAGGCACCAAACATCCACCCAGGGATTCACCACTCAGCCACGTGAACGTGCGCACACAGCGCTACACACGCGCACATACACATCAGCAGACAGACACGCGCACGCACCCCCCCTAGCTGGGCACACACACAGTGGCAGACAAACACGCTGGCAGACAAACACGCGCGCCGACACACCCACCCCTTGGTGCACACACCCACACACATCAGCGGATGCACGCACGCACACGTCAGCAAAGCACACACACAAGGAGGTGAGAAGACACAGGCGTTAATGAATGCAAAAAACGTATGCGCGAGTGTTGAGCGCGTGCACATTTGCAGGCACATACTAGCGCACACACGGTCACACACACACACTCGTGTAAGCTAGTAAAAACAAAGATTCCCCGTATAGCCTTAACAGACCGTTGGGGCAAGTGCTGCAAGCGAGCACCTATGAAGGCCGCCACACTTTGTCTCCCCAGTGGTAATGTTTTACACATCGCACTGGGTACTCATTTGAAGCTAAGCCGACCTAGGGGAGGCCCAAGTCCGGTTCAGATAATCATCACTGTTGTTGGCCGCTAGCGTAAATTTAACTCAGGGTCGCCGGGTTCGTAGGGTAGTGCACCAGGTGCTGTGCCACCGATTGTGTGTGTGTGTGACCGGCAGGTCGTGTTTGGTGGGGTAAAGTGTGGCTCAAACTCTGTCTGCAGCTCGCTCGGAGATGCAGAAAAATCAGTGAGGCTCATGGGTAGTGGAGCGGGGATGAAGTCAGCTGGCAGGAGCGGGCACACAGGGCACCATGGCGCCCGCCCCGAGAGCTCTCTCTGCATCAAGATCCATGACCCCAACGAGAATCGCTAATTGTTAAGACGAACTAAGCCATCAGTGGGCGGCGGCGGCGGCACGGACGCCGAGAAATCCAATCCACGGTTAGTTTATGATCGGCAGGTCGTGGCGTGCGGTGGGGCACAGTGTGGGTACACCCACCCCTTGCCTACCCGCCTGGTCGCTGTGGAAAAGGAGACCAAGCAACCTCTAAAGTTCGCTCGAGCGGGGGGGGGGGGGGGGGGGGGGGGGGCCTTCTGCCAGCAGTGGTGGTGAGCGAGCAACAGCAGGGCTGCACCTTTACCTCTTCACCCGAGTCAAGTCAAGGGGTGAATAAACATCCCCCCCCTTCCTCCTCCTGGAGCTCCCAGCCCCAGCAGGTGTCATCAACGTCAGCTGCTGATGCTGACGACACAATGCTTTAATGAGGCTCTCACCTTGTTAACGCCCCTCCCTCCCCCGCTCCCAACTCAACCCCGCGCGTCGCACGGACCGCGGTCCTTCGACGCCAACTCAAGCACGGCCATTAATTTAACATCGGGTTCCCCGCGCTCGCGCGGTGACATCATCCTGCCCCCCCCCCCCACCCACTCCCCACCCGCGCCGCCCGCGGGGAGACGGGAGAGGGGACGAGAGGGACGCTCGGGCAGGCGGTTGGGGGGGCGAGGGGGGGGCCCAAGGGTGAGCAGGGGATTGTGGGTAGCACGAGCGGCACACCCCCTCGGGAGGCCACAGACGGCAAAGTGCTGACAATGTCGCTCCCTAAGCCGTCGCCGACGTATTAACGGTGCCTCCGAGCGTGCCGCCGGAGAGACGGGGCGGGCGCGGCGGCTTTGGGGCGTTTGTGCGACTGTTTGGTAAATTTTGTTCCACCCATTTAGATGCGAACGCGGTGCACTTGACATATAGACACAGAGAGAAGCATTTCCAACCCCCCCCCCCCCCCCCCCCCACGTTTTGAATCTCTCTCCGCCGACAGGATTACCGTCGCGCTCCGGCATCACCTGCAGGTGTCTACCTCCTCTCGGCAAGACGTCTCCTCCTCCTGCACGTCTCGAGTGGTGCGGCAACGCGGGCACCCCGGTTGCCTTTGCTCGCGAATACGACGACCAGCGAACGAGGTGGCGCTGCCAACGCCAGCCTCGTTCGTAAACGCGGTTTCAATGCAGCTCGTTGTTTCCTGTTAATTCAACTTTACTGCGGTAGCGTCTTTGCCGACGGGCTATGTCAAAGGCAGCTTTCGCTTACATTTCAAAACTAATATTTAACCCGCAATCGCATTTGTGCTAAGACCATAAAGAGCCCGACACGTAAACCTGGGAGGGATTATTTTTCACGGCGGACTAGCGGCACTTGTTTCTCTCCACTGCTGGATGAGTCCCCCCGGCCCACGACGCGTTTGACAAAATTTCTCATCAGTGCGGGTCGGCGGTGGCAGAAAACATCGATGCCGGAGCATAGAGGTACAGTCCAATTAGATAAAGGGTGCTTCAAAATTTGTTTTCACACTTCTGAGAATTTGCAACAGCACCACGAGAAATGTGCTGCCTACGGGCTCTGGAGACCACCTGGAGAAGATTCCAGGCACGCGTTGACAACGATGGCGAACGAGTTGAGACTCTTCGACTTATTGAAGCTATCGTGTTACAGTGCATTATCCGTTCTTTTCCATTAAAAACAATAGTCCCGTGTAAGCGTTAACATTATTTTGAAGCACCCTGTATTTATTTGCACGTTACTACTCTACTGCCCACGGTGTAGCCCCACGGCCCATGACACGTGGTGGTGGCGGTGGTGGTGGCGGTGGTGGTTAGGCGGGTGAACGTGGGGCGACAATGCTGTCATCATTTGGGGACGGAGCGAGGGACTCACCGACGATGGCAGACCAGGAGGAACCTTGCGCACCTTCTTGTTTTGAACGTCTAGAACGCACGCGGGCCACGCACAAACGAGAAACGACGTTCACTCATCGACGCGTACCTCGAGCTCTGAGAACCATTATTAGCAGCATCGTTCATTCGCACGTTCGTCGCGCACAGTCGGCCGTACACCGGTGTCTCGAGTCGTTTGATCCACGCCTCACGGGCGGGGAGGGCCGACCGGGAGGGCGGCGCCATTCGTGAGAGGGTCACACTTCTCACTGAAAACGTCGACCGCCAACCCAAGTTGCGCAAAATTTTGCCGCGGGAGTTTGCGCATCAAGACGGGGCGACGTGCCCACCGAGTGACACGGCCGTCTCCCTCGAACTCACAAAGCTCTCGTTCGCCAGAAGACCGGTTCGTAGATGCAACGGGGACGTTTCTGACGAAGTCGAACCATCGGACGACAAGAAGGCGTCTTTGGCGTCGCGTGGGGCGCCACGGTGGCAAGATGTTAACTACCAAGCCTGGCATGCCGGAGATAGTGGGTTCGACCCCGACCCGGACGCCTGCACATGTGGAGTTTGCATGTTCTCCGGCGTGGTCGTGTGGATTTTTCTCCGGGTCCTCCGGTTTTTCCCTCCACATTTAGAATCAACATCACGCGTTCAGAGTCTTTGGCTGCTGTAATAAGCCACTTCGCTGAGCTATCATTTGCGGCCAGGTCGTTTCTGAAAAACAGCTATCTACATAGCTCAGTGGACCTTACCTGGAGGTAAAACTAAAAATTGTAAAAAAAAATGTAAAAAAATTTGTAAAAAAAATCTGTTCAATAAATATACAGTTTTTGGATTTTGGATGTGGAAAGACTGTGGAAAAAAACTCAGTCATCAGGTGACCGGCACACCAGGGCTTCAGGTCACCCTTCCCCAAACCTAACGAGTCTTGACGTAACATGTGCAACGGCGTGCGAGCGGCGCAGCCTAGGAGCGGCTGAAATAATGCGAGCTGACGCGTGGGAGAAATGCGTCTTCGTTCCATCTCGCTGTTAATCCGCGGCACCGTGCGGCCAACGCGTTTAGGGCGACTCGAACGCCGCAAGGCTGTCGCTTCACGTGACGGTGATGCGCGTGGGGTGTTGCACGCACACGCATCCGCGCACACGCACGCACACGTGCACACGCATGCACGCACACATACGCACGCGTACACGCGCATACACACACACGCGTACACACGCACAAGCAGACGCTGCCTTGTTTCTCAGCGCCTGTGATAGCTCCCACAAAGTGGCAGCAGTGGTGGCATCCTTTGTTTAGCCAGGAGATGCTTCCAGTCATTTAGGATACAGCAGAGCGTGAGTTGAGCCTGGAGAGTGCTTGGGGATGGGTGACCGCCATGCATAGCAGGCGTTATAGGTCGTGGGGCGAACACGGTGGCAGCAGAGGGCAGTGCGAAAAGCATCAATTGTTGTCCTGTAACTCTATGGTCCGGCCTACATACGTGCTACTCGCTAACAGCACTTGCCGCAACACTCTGTCAAGGCTATACGGGGGATCTTTGCCTTTGTATGTAGAACATCTTTCGCACCGTACGTTGCAAACCGTGCTAATCATTCGAATGAAGCCAATTAACTCAGGCGAGTCGCCATAGAAAAGTAAGTTTCCCTCAGTCTTGGCTTACATAGACTATTTGGCTGCGATACATTTCCACAGGATATGCCACTTCGTGGAGCTATCATTCGTGGTGGCCAGATCACTTCTGAAAAAGCGCTACATAGCACGGTGGGTCCTTATCTTGTAAAATAAAAAAACTGTTTAGTTTATATGTCGATGGAACAACCCCAGTTCTGATCTCATTAAGGTCACAATGGCCTTGTGTTCTTATGGCTTCCTCAGCATCATCACCGTCATCATCACGATCCATTCCTCGACATCGCGGCCTCACACAAAGTGAAGAATGTGTCCCGAAGCACCAATTTTGGCAAATGGGAAAACCGCCAACTCTTGTAAATGAATGTCCTACGTAGCACATTTTTTAGCGTCCCCTGTGAAGGCGAAGTGGGATATATATATTTTTTTGTTTACGGCTAACACACTCGCAGTATTAACCAGGGTGGCCGCTGGCTTCGAATTTGCAAACCTCTGCAACGAGCGGCGAGTGCGCCGTTCGCTACCAATACCGTCCTGGCCCAGCTGGAACAGGCCAAAGAGCTGGGGGACACCATTGGTTTGAATTGGCATCGAATTCGATTTAATGCGAGTGGGAGACTGGGTTAACAACCTCAAATCTCAAAACTGCCGGCTTACTTCTCCCGACTTATACGGAAGTATTAGACATTGACATTTCAGGCGCTGACTTTATCAATGGTAATAAGTTATATGAGAATGTCTGCACAAGTTATAAACCAGCTAACCGATTAATTAAACATTGCGTTAACAGCTCCGTGTCCCCTTCCCCCTTTGCTGGGAATTCAAATGAGCTGCTTTCCTTGAACTTTGTTAAACAAAACAAAAAAGCAGGCCGTGTTTGTCACCTAAGCCAGCTGTGTCAGAGCCAATACGATCCCACGAAGGACACCCCACGGCCGTCCGCTTTTCTACAAGGAACGAGTGAGGAGGTGGAGGGGGGGCGGGGCGAGGAGGAGAGTGAGGTCGCTGCTTTACCGGCAGGGGAAGGCTCCGGGAGCGGCCGGCGACGCGGATTCCCCGCCCCGTAGGATTGGTAGTACGGCGAGGCCGGCTTGGCCGGAGGGGACAGGGCCCCCCCCGGGCTCTGCAGCGCCAGCTCGGGGGGCAGCAGGGGGGGCTGCTGCTGCTGCTGCTGCAAGGGCACAGGAGAGAGGGGCAGTGGGGGGGGGGAGCAGAAACACACAGGTACATTTAACGGCCGAATGAACACACGCACACACGCTCGGGGTCTCTCCTGCTCCTGACCAATCCAGCCAAGTCGCGGGGGCCACGTGGTGGCCAAGAGGGGGCAGTGCAATAATTTACATCCATTGTTGTACAGTACTTCGACGCTCCCCGCTATCTACCCTCCCTTCACGAACAACCAACTCACACTCTGAAATAACCCTGAAGGCCCGCGCGGCCCGGGCGGAGGCCCTCATCCAGCAGCGGATCGACAGAGGGGGGTTTAACACGTAGGCTTTCGCGACCAATATTATTCATAATAAAGGTTTTTTTGGGTTAGACCGCGTTATTTCTAAATGTGTCGTAACCCTCCACCACCCGACATGGCCAAACAGTAAAAAATGTGTCACGTTGACAAAAGACAAATAGGGGTTGTACAAGCGCGCCGAGCTCAACCGAGATCAAGAAGAAACCCCAAGCGGCGGTCACGACCTTTAATTTATCCTTTCCCATCTCGCATTATTAGTTCCGTAAGACCCACCCAGCCCACCTCCTCCTCCCACCGCGGCCTTCGCACACCCAGGCTGGCATGGCCCCACTACCTGAGGGCGACTTTCACTCTTCCTCCTCCTCCTCCCTGCTGTTGCTCCCACAGCCGGCTGTGCCTGCCCCACCGCTGATGGCGACGGAGACTTTACAAAATTGAAATCTGCATGGCGGCTTCGCTGAGCTATCGTTTGCGGTGGCCAGGTCGCTGCTGGGAAAGAAGCCGACGGCTCAGTGGGCTTTACCTGGTAAAATGTGTTCCGTTTTTATTTGTATTCCTTTGTTTACCTTCCCTATATTTTGCACTCGTTTCGTTTTTTTGTATTGTTTGGTGTTGTAACGATCTTACCCCCTGTGAAAACGAGCTTCATAGCTCATCGGATTCCTCCAGTTATAAATAAACATTCTGATTCTGATGATCTCCTACTGCTGCTCAACAGAATGATTTGGTCCACGCCTTCCTGATGCTTGTGACCGCAACACTCGCGCAGCGTACGGCCAAGTTGTTACCGTATTCTCCGTATTGCAAGGAGCACTTTCCACCTCCCTTATATTCTCAAGTAAAAGTTGGGGGTGCCGTGTGTATGTGCGCGCGCGCGTGTGCGGAGACCAGATTAGTGTTAACGTAACTGACACTGGACAAAAGAAAGCCTGGGGTGCGTGTCTCACTATCCAGAGAATACGGCTACTTGTATTGTGTAGGGGATACTGGGATGCATCATTTCGGGGGCGGTAATGATCACAGCCTCAAACAAATCTAGGGGGGCAAGAAACAGGCACCACAACAACTGCCATTGGCCACTAAGTGGCAGTGATGTCACCACGGCGCTTGTGCCAGGGTAAGTGCACTTTAAGGCCACGTGAAGCGTCGAACGCCCACTAGCAGGAGGTCACGGCACAGACCCAGGCTCCACAAAGATAAAAGACAAAGATCCCCCATATAGCCTGATTGTAGGGGCAAGTGCTGTTAGCGAGCACCTATAAAGGCCGGCACGGCACACGAGGGGGTGGGTGGCAAACACCACGCCCGGCCGCCTTTGTCTCCCTAGTGCCGATGTTTATACATATCGCACCAGGTACTCATTTGAGGCTGAGTCGACCTAGGGGAGCTCCGGGACCGGTCCAGATAATCGTCACTCGTGGTTGTTGGCCGTGAGCGGGAATCGAACCCGGGTAAAGCCGGGTTCGTAGCGCAGCGTAGCGCTAACCGCCACTCTACCGCTCCCCACAAACACACACACAGCAGCAATTACAACTCGGGCTGACAGGCAGCACTCTGTCCTGACAACCACCACTCTCCCGCATCATCCAATCCCCCACAGCTCATTTAGGCCCCCCCCACCTCACCCCGCCACCTCACCCCCCCCCTCCTCCCAGCTCACCCCTCCCCCTCACCCCCCCATCTCCCCCTGCCACCCCCCTCCCCCCCAGCTCACCCCCCCTCACCCCCCACCATCTAACCCTGCCACCTCACCCCTTCCCCCCACCCCCCCTCACCCCCCACCATCTCACCCCGCCACCTCACCCCCCTCCCCCCCAGCTCACCCCCCCCTCACCCCCCCATCTCCCCCTGTCACCCCCCCCTCCCCCCCAGCTCACCTCCCCTCACCCCCAACCATCTCCGGCCCTCATCTCCCTCAACCCATTGAGAGCCTTGCCCACCTAAACCGCTGGACTGGGTCATTTGGCTCAGACGGGAATTAATGGCTTTATCGTGAGAAACAAGGCCACCGTCTCAAGCGAGATCTCCAGACAATGCTCGGGCGGTCATTTGTTTGTTTCTTCAGCTTCTCCTCGTGGCGCCGTTTCAACGGGGCTGCAGCCGCTGCTGGCGCTGGGGCCGGCGCGGGATGGGTAGCGTGTGCGGTGCGCGCTCCCGTGAACCTCACTCGTTGATTCCTCCACCCGTGTTGAGGACTCTGTCTCTAGCAAACGCTGGACGACTCTCGTCTTATCAACCACCATCTACACCGTGTTCAACCACCACACTGTGTTCAACTTCCACCATCACAATATGTTCAACCACCACCGACACTGTTAAACCACCACCACCTTCACCACATTGTGTTAAACCACTACACTCCAGGTCACATCACTTGTCTTGCTGCTTATTCCCCCTTGCACACTGCTCAACTTTGGAATTCCAACCCATCGTCTCATTTCCCAAGACTCTTAAGATAATAGCCTTGCTCAATTTAAGAAACGTGTCAGCTATTATCTCTTACAACTTTGATGAGGAATTCCCTCTTTGCCTCCGTGGCTCAACTCCAGTACCACAATTAACGTATTCTCCGGATCACAAGATCCACTTTGTCCCTTTGTATTTTAAAGCAAAAATCTCATAAACTGGTAAGCGTGTCTGTGCGTGTGACCAGACTGCTTCCCACCTGGCACTGGGCACACATCTTACTTCCCGGAGTGTCTTATAATCCGGAAAATGCGGGACTCATTATACACTGCCATGAAGGATTATGGGTAAAACAAGAAAAGGCAGGCTTATATTTTTGTAATAGGCCTGACTCTCCTGATAAGACTTGAAAAGTCGAAACCGGTCCCGAGTATGTTCGCTTAAACAAAAACGCCGCTGGAATCTGCGAAGCTTGATAGGACGATGGATTTAGTCTTTATTTCTTTCTCAGCACAACAACGTGATATGGTGGTAACAACACACGAACATCGTCAAGTGCCGACTACCACACCTCCGATTGGCTACGTACGGCGCGAAATAAGTTCAACATACACACGCGCTATGTATTAACATTCAAGGCTAAAGCTGTCGTGATGAAATCACTTCACGTGCAGTTGCTAAGTGGATTATCCAAACGCAGGATTATGAGAGGTGGTGGCGGCGGCAGTGGCTCGGGGAGACGTTCAAGCAGCAGCAGCAGTGGACTGAACATGGCTCGCGGCGGCGATGACACGTAACGAAGGACCGTGGGCCCTCCCCGCGCAGGACTGTCTGTCGTGACCAGCTCCTCCGCAAGAAGCGGATTGATTTGCGTTCATCGAGCAACGCTTCACTTGAGCACGGCACTATGGGCCTGTGCCATCCCTAAGGAGGGCCTGTCATGGACGACCTGTCCGAACTTTTTATTATTTTTATTGCTATTGAATGAAAGCGAGCGGTTATTGATCAACTTTGCGGGATGAACACGGTTAACCTCTGAGTCAGGCACGGAAGCCAAAACACGAGATGGAAGCACATTTTAATGCAAAGGGTTTTTACTACAGAGTTATTTTAACAAATTACACATGTTAAAACCGACTTCCGTTAACGCATGCATGAATTCTCTTATGAAATGAATGTAGGATTTTTTTTTTTTAGATCATAGTGATGTGTAATCTTGGTCGAGTTTTGGATTTGAGGTGACCCCCACAGAAAGGATGAAAAGAGATCATAATGATAGATAAATTATGAATGTACGAAATGTAACAATTCATGTTTTAATGCCAGTGTTAAAATGTTTGAATACCAGTGTTAAAGTAAATGAAATAACCCTACGTGTCCTAACTTTTGGGCCACCCTGTACAACTGTACAACAAATGCACGAGTCCAGTTGCAACAACACTCACACTGGTTCCACCCCCACCTCACACAACTCACCGGACATACTTCAGGAATACAAATTTAAAATCAATTCTGGCCATCGTTGAACCGCCAATGGGCTTTGCAAGGCCTCTCCGTCAACACGTCAATCGCGCCATCAAATAAGACAGCCCCACGGGCCAACGGCGCGGCTCTCCACACACGACTAACGCGGGGACAAAGATCCCCCGTGTAGCCTAAACAGACTGTAGGGGCAAGTGCTGTTAGCGAGCACCTATGAAGGCCGGAACGGTACACGAGGGGGTGGGTGGCCAGCACCATGCCCGACCGCCTTTGTCTCCCCAGTGGCGATGTTTACACACCGCACCCGGTGCTCATTTAAGGCTGAGTCGACCTAGGGGAGGCCCAGAACCGGTTCAGATAATCGTCACTGGTATTGGCCGTGAGCGGGAATCGAACCCGGGTCGCCAGGTTCATAGCGCAGCGCGCTAACCGCTACACTACCGCTCCCCAACGCGGGGACACACTCACACACACTCACACACATGCACGCACGGGCGTGTGTAGACGAACGTTTACACAACGTACTTTCTGTGGGCCTCCCCGCTCATCGGTCACGACGCGTCGTGACCGATGAGCGGTGGACACGTTGTTCACCTCAAGCGTCGTGTCCCTCACAACCGCCCCCCCCTCCCCCACCGTATCACCTCTGCAACTTTAGCGTTTCGAGGATTCACACATTTGCCCTTTGCACAATCACCGACGAGCCTTCAATGTATTCGGCCGCAGCTGTTAACGAAGCAGTGGGGCCGATCCCCAAACCCCCCAGCTCGAGCACAGAGACCAACGGGCAAGGCAAGGGATGCCCCTCGTCAGCCG